ATTAGGGGTTACACTGGTTTGCTAGGTCTGCCGTAACAAATAACACAGAGCAGGTGCCTTAAACAAGAGAAATTTATTTCCTGACAGTTCTGGAGGCTGGAAGTCCAAGATCGGGGTGTCGGCAGAGTTGGTTTCTGCTGAGGCCTCTCTCCTTGGCTTGTAGATGACCACCTTCTTCCCGTGTCTTCACGTAGTCATCCCTCTGTGCATCTCTGTGTCCTAATTTCCTCTCCTTATAGGGACACCAGTCATGTTGGATCGGGTCCCCCCTAAGAGCCTCATTTTACCTTAATCACCTTTTTTTTTTTTTTTCCCCTTTTTGTCTTTTTTCGTGACCGGCAACGGATCGCAACCCTCAGTGTCGCGCCCATACCGGACCTGGACCGGCAACGGGATCGCAACCCTTGGTGTTGCTCCCGCACCTCGCTCAGCCAGTGAGCGGCCGGTCTGTATGTGGGATCCAAACCCTCGGCGGGAGCACCGCCGCGCTCCCAAGCGGTGCACTGTAGCAGTGCGCCACCGGGCCGGCCCCTTAATCACCTCTTTAAAGGCCCTATCTCCAAACACAGTCACATTCTGAGAACTTAAGCATATGAAATTTGGGGGGACACACTTCAGCCCATAATGGGGCTTTAGTGAAGACAAACTGGATTTCAAGCCTTCACAGCATCCTTCTCCTCTTTATCAGGCTTACAGCTTGCAGTCCCCTTCTTAGTTTGTTTCCTGGTCCCCAATTTGGGGACCTTGAGGACTACTGAGAGATTGTGCAAACATTGACCAGTTTCCTTGCTGAAAGCTTTGATCAAGATAAGAGTTAACCAAATCCTCCCTTGGGGGCTTGTTCTAAAGTTTTTCCACTATGGTTATTTATCTATTTTGTATCATTTTCTTACATATGACTAACCTCTCAGTATAAAAGCTGACAAGGGCTTGGTAAAGTACTACAACATGCTACTGAGATAAATGCCACTGGTTGAAGTAAGAAGTTGGGAAAACTGGGTTCGTGCTCACCAGTTGCCTCAGCCTAGGATTTCTGTCCCCCTTTCCTTGCCATCTGTAGGTGTGATGTGGCATAGTGGTTAAGAGAACAGACCGCTGGGGTCAAGTCCCACTGTCTACAGTGTAGTACCTGTGAGATCCTGGGAAGATTACTTAACCTTTCTGTGCCTCAGTTTCCTCACCTATAAGGTAGGGGAAATAACAGTACTTCATGAGAAAAATGTAGTTGTATGAATATGAAGAGTTCGTAATTCTAATAAAGCATTTAGCACTATCGCTGGCCACAGTCAGTGCTCTGTAGACATTAGCAGTCATGAATTTTTGTTTCTTGTGCTCTCTTCACCTCTGCTCCCTACTCATCCTGGGCTGTCATCACAGAAACTGTAGAACTAACTGGAACAACTGTCCCTGTGCTTCTTTAGCTATGAACATGGTTTCCAAGTGAATGTAGGAGTCTTTTTTTTTTTTTGTAGTATTACAAAAATAAAGTTCAGCAACCTTAGATGTGTTTGGATATTTGGGGACTGTGCTATGGCAGGTGATAATCATGGTGGTTAAGGACTCTGGAGTGAGACCACCTGGCTTTTAATTGGGACTTGCAACTTAGTAGTTTGTTCCTTGACCTGTCTCTACATCAGTTTCCAAATATGTAGAATGGGCACAATAACAATGATAGGCTTGTTTGGATTAAGTGAGATGATGTGAGTAAAGCTGTTAACATGCATTAGTTCCTTCCATTTTCAAGTGTGAAACTGGGAGACAGAAGGTAAATATGTTCCATTTCAGATGTCTCTGTAAATTACCTTGCCTTCTGTACATTTTGTAGTCTAGTTTAGCCTGTGCAATGCTGGTGAGTGATTATGGCCCACATGCTCATAGAGTGTTACTTTCATGATGAAAATATTTGCAAAACAGGAGTGCATATGAGGATGTTCTCCCTTGTCCTCATTATCAAAACCCTGAGAACATTATTTTGTTTCAAATGTGCTTTAGAATCAGTGGTTGCCTTCTAGAAAGAAGGCACGTTAACGTGGACGGCCAAAATATTGGACACAGTTGTATCATCATCAGACTAAGCTTGATTGGGGGACAGGTCTTGTAGGTGAACGGAGTTATTATAATGATAGAGAATTGTCCTGTGGAATTAAGTGGTTTGTGATCAGCTAAGTTTTTTTTTTTCCTTTTTTTGTCTTTTTTTACTGACCGGTAACGGGATTGCAACCCTCCGTGTTAAGCTAAAAAGAGAACAAACAAAACCCCCCAAAACCCAGAGGCAATAAGACTCAGAGTAAGTGAATAACAAGTTCCTCCCCAGCACATTACACATGCATGTGTATGTATATGTGTGTATATACTGTACACATACACTTTTACATACATACATACATATATATATATATATATATTTTTTTTTTTAAAGAGAAAGTATGGGATTTTGGTTTAAAAAAATCACCAATATCAATGTGGGCTAGAGGAAAGCTGTAGCAAGTGGCTGTTCACGTGGAAAAAGGCATTTTCTTGTTGTTGCTCCAACACCCACCTGAGTTGGTAATCCAAGTTAGTAATCCTGAGTTAGTTACTCTCAGAAAAGTGAATGCTTGCTAAGGCTGATTGACTAAAAGAAGGGACAAGATATTTTCACTCTGTTCTTCCCAATTCAGAAAACACTTGGAGTTTGGTATTCAGTTCCTGGGACCCACATTTTAGAGTAAGGGTGTGTCCAGAGCATCATGATAAGGAGATGAGGTCATGCTAAATGATGAATGTTTTAGGAAACCAGAATGTTGAAACTGAAAACCAGAAGACTTTGGATTCTGGAAGTGATGTGTGATAGGTATGTTCAAATATTTGAGGGGCAGTTATGTGAAAGTGGAATCTGACATCCACTTTCTGTAGCTCCAGAGTGTAGAATTTATGGGGGACCTTGAATCAGTGTTAAAAAACAAAACAACAACAACAACAAAACCCCCAAAACCCTGTGATGAATGGGGCAGCTGCCATAGCTGTCATAAACAAAAGGACCGTCTTGGGAGCTAGTGGACTTCCTGGCACTGGAAGTGCTCTCACAGGGCTGGGTTATTGGAGAGAGGACTCCTTCTTAGTCCTGGATTTGGGGCTAGATATCTCCAGGGGTCTCTTCCAAAGTCAAGATTGGTGTGGCTGTTTCCTCATTCTGTTAATGGTCATCTGCAGCCCTGTATTCCCAGTTTGCTTCCTCTCCAGTCTGACTTTTAATTTTTAAAAAATTAATAGAGCTGTTTTTGAGCAACTTTAGGTTTACAGAAAAAAACCCATCTGCAGCCCTGTATTCCCAGTTTGCTTCCTCTCCAGTCTGACTTTTAATTTTTAAAAAAAATTAATAGAGCTGTTTTTGAGCAACTTTAGGTTTACAGAAAAAAACCCCCCATATACGTCTTCACTCTCTCCGTCCCCTCCAGTTTCTCCTATTATTAACATCTTGCATTAGTGGGGTACATTTGTTACAATTGATCAGCTAATATTGATACATTAGTATTAGCTAAGTCCAAGTTTACGTTAGGGTTCACTCGATGCTGTACATTCTGTGGGTTTGGGCGAGTGTATAATGACATGTATCCACCAGTACAGTACCATCCAGGACAGTTTCACTGCCCTAAAAATCCCCTGGGCTTCCGCTATTGATCCTTCCCCTGCCCCTGAACCCTGGACAACCACAGATCTTTTTACAGTCTCTATAGTTTTGCCTTTTCCAGAATGGCATACATGGGGTCTTTCAGATTGGCTTCTTTCACTTAGTAACATGCATTTACGGTTCCTCTATATCTTCTGTGGCTTATTAGCTCATTTCTTTCTATCACTGAATAACATTCCATTGACTGGATGCACCACAGCTTGTGTGCTCGTTCACCTGCCGAAGGACACCTGGGTTGCTTCCAAGTTCTGGCAGTTATGAGTGAAGCTGCTTTAAAATGCACGTGCAGGTGTTTGTGTGGCCCTAAGCTTTCGATACACGCGGGTAAATACCAAAGAGCACAATTGCTAGATCATGTGGTAAGAGTATGTTTAATCGTGTGAGAAGCTGCTAAACTGTCTTCCGTGGCGCCGGCAGTGACCGGGAGTCCCTGCTGCTCCACGTCCCCACCAGCACTGGGTGTTGTCAGTGTTCTGGAGTTCAGCTGTTCTAGCAGATGTGTAGTGGGCTGACTTTTTTCTCATTGTGGTATCTCCAAATTACTATGAGAAATACATATAACACTATTATTACTATAATATAATACTCCTGTTATTCAGAATCCAGTTAGAGAAAGACATTGGAAACAAGAGAACAAGCTCTTAACACTAATACTGTTGTTAATAATATTAATACAAACTTATTTGTGAGTACTTTTTGAGTTTATTTTTAAAATACATACCACCAGGAGAATATTCATGAGACATATTTCTCATTAACATGTATAAGCAATGATACTTAAGAGCATAAAGAGACATCGATGATAATCGTATAACAGTTCTCTCAAGAAGCACTTCAGTTTTTGAGCAGTTGCTACTGACTCTATTTTAAATTTTTTTGTTGTATATATTTAACGTGTATGACTTGATCATTTGGTACATGTACACATTGTGAAATAATCACCATAATCAAGATACTTGTTATGAGGGGTCTTCAAAAAGTTCAAGGGGGATTTGTACTATCTTTTAATCCCATTTTTCCAAGAACCTTTTGATGTACTCTCGTATTCATCACGTCACATCGTTACCTTTTGTGTGTTTGGTCACCTACAGTCCCCGTGCTGCACGTTAGATCTCCAGAACTCATTCATTCATCCTGCATCACTGAAACTTTGCACCCCTTGCCCAACAACTCCCCATTTCCCCGTCCCCCAGACCCTGGTAACCACCATTCTGCTCTCTGCTTCTTTGAGTTCAACTGTTCTAGGTTCCATGTGAGACCATGTGGTTTGTCTTTCTCTGCCTGACTTACACTGACTCTGGGTTGAGGTTTTTCACTGTTTTTGTTTCAGGTCTTTCAGGTTGCATATGTCATCATTAAAGCTGCCAATGCCCCTCGCCCTGGAAACTGGATTTTGGAGCGCTCTCTGAATGGCACCACATTCAGCCCTTGGCAGTATTATGCAGTTAGTGACACAGAGTGTTTGACTCGCTACAATATAACTCCAAGACGGGGGCCACCCACTTACAGGGCTGACGATGAAGTGATCTGCACCTCGTATTATTCTAGACTGGTGCCACTAGAGCATGGAGAGGTACTGTGCCCACTGCAGTGATGTCTATTTTTTTCATCAGGGTCCCCTGCCTCATAGCCATTGTAAGATCCAGCATTAAACACTTAAAATTGATATCTGGCAATACAAAGATCTTTCATGTAGCTATCTAGCTCGATTTAGAGTAGCTTCTAATGGTGTCTGTTACAGTCAATTTTTCTACAGATACATTTTTCCTTATTGATTTCTTCCCTTCAAGGACATCCCTCAGTCTTCACTTGCTGTGATTTAATAACTCCAGCAGATCCTCCTTCAGAGTATCTTTTCTACAGATACATTTTTCCTTATTGATTTCTTCCCTTCAAGGACATCCCTCAGTCTTCACTTTGCTGTGATTTAATAACTCCAGCAGATCCTCCTTCAGAGTATCTTCCCCCCAACATCAGGGCAAGAATGTTTGATGAAATATTAAAGAGGGCTAAAAAGCCTCTAAAAGAGATAGTCCCAGGGCCGGCCCTGTGGCTCACTCGGAAGAGTGCGGTGCTGGTAGCACCGAGGCTGCAGGTTCGGATCCTATATAGGGATGGCCGGTGCACTCACTGGCTGAGCGTGGTGCTGATAACACCGTGCCAAGGGTTGTGATCCCCTTACCGGTCAAAAAAAAATAAAATGGCTGAGCGTGGTGCTGATAACACCGTGCCAAGGGTTGTGATCCCCTTACCAGTCAAAATAAATAAATAAAATAAAATAAAATAAAAGAGATAGTCCCAATTTTTCCTGTGAAGTTCTCCTTTTTGGTGGGTGTCAAGGACTGGGAGATGCCCATGAAGGGTTATGGCATGGTGCTCAGCATGCCCAGACTACACACATTTTGTTAAAGTCATGGTGTAATGGGAAAAAACCCATTCTTTAGTAGCACCTGGCTCGATGAGATAAAAGTACAAGGACTCTCAAGTGCTCTTCACAGAAGAAACTCTGCAGCAAGCCCCGTGTTGTTTCAAGAGCAGGGATTAATTAAAAGAGCAGGTATCCTTGGCTTTTTGACACTGTTTCCTTGCTCTCCCCAGCCTGTTTATGACATGTAGAATTTGCTTCAGAACAGTCGTAGCCTAATGATAGATGCTAGAGAGAAGTGGTCCTGTTAAAATATTTCCAGCAGTCTCCGAGACACTGGAATGGACAACTTCAACAAGTTGAAGAGTATTGAGATCATGGACATTTATGAGTAGTTAAATGTAAGACAGCTTTTAACAAGAATCTTGTTGTTTTGCATTGATTTTAGATAGTATCCTTGTAAAGATTACATCCCAAAGTTAAACAATCAGGTCTGTATTTTTGCATGTTTAAACTGACATTTGTCGGACCGGTTCCCGCTCACTGGTTGAGCGAGGCGCGGGAGCAACGCCGAGGGTTGCGATCCCGTTGCCGGTCCCCGGTCCAGTACGGGGGCAACACTGAGGGTTGCGATCCGTTGCCGGACACGGAAAAAGACAAAAGACAAAAAAAATAAAAAAATAAAAATAAACTGACATTTGTTTATTTTAATGTCTTCATCTTCAGATTCATACATCACTAATCAACAGCAGGCCAAGTGCTGATGATCTGTCACCCAAGCTGTTGGAATTTACTTCTGCACGATATATACGCCTTCGCTTCCAGCGCATTCGAACGCTCAATGCAGATCTCATGACCCTTAGCCACCGGGAACCCAAAGACCTTGATCCTATTGTTACAAGACGAGTGAGTATATGGCAGTGCTCCTGACCACTGTGAAAAGTTTATTTATTTATTTATTTATTTATTCTTTTTTTTGTCTTTTTTCGTGACCGGCAACGGATCGCAACCCTCAGTGTCACGCCCGTACCGGACCGGGACGGCCACGGGATCGCAACCCTCGGTGTTGCGCCCGCACCTCGCTCAGCCAGTGAGCGGCCAGTCTGTATGTGGGATCCTGTATGTGGGATCCAAACCCTCAGCGGGAGTGCCGCCGCACTTCCCAAGTGGCACACTGTAGCAGTGCACCACCGGCCCTGCCCGAAAAGTTTATTTTGTTTGGGGGAAATCTTCTCTTCTCTTTTCTGTGGTCCTTTTCCTCCCTGGTTGACCTTTTTTCCCCCTTGCTGTTATGTTCTTATTTTATTGGAGATCATTATATTCATTCCAAATACTCCCTGTGAACCAGGAGATGGCACTGACGTCCTGTGCTCAGGTCCCTTCACCCCGCTCCGTCCCCACAGTGCCTCAATGGAGTGAAGGTGGTGGCCTTTGTCTTCACATTCTAGTCTGACTCCACATCTGATCTTCACCAAGCAAGAGGTTTTTTTTTAATCTCAAATTTTAAAATTGAGATATGATTTACATTCAGGAAAAGGTACAGATTTTAAGTGTATAGTTAAGTGTACAGGACTTTGTGGACAAATATGTTCGTATCCCTTCAATAACTCAAGATTGGAATTACTAGGTTATAGGGTAGCTGTATGTTTAACATTTTAACAACCTCCTAACTTTCATCAAAAGTAGTTGTGCTGTTTTACAATCATACCAGCAATGTGTGAGAGTTCTGCGTATACAACATGCTTTCAAATATTTAGTGTCAGGAGTTGTTTTCATGATGGCTATTCTAATGTGCATGAATTGACATCTCCTTGTGATGTTAATTTGTATTTCTCTGATGACTAATGTTGAGCATGTGCTTATTAGTATCTGATCAGATTTTTTTGTCCATTTTTAAATTGGGCTATTTGTCTCCTTATTATTGTTATAAAAGATCTTTATATATTTTGTGTATAAGTTCTTCATCAGATATGTATATATTGCAAATATCTTCACTGTGTCTGGAATTTGCTCATTCACTTTCCTAACTATGACTTTTGATGAACAGAGATTTTAATTTTGATGAAGTCCAATTTATCATTTTTTTCATTTTCAGCTAATGCTTTCTGTATCTTCTCAGAAAAATATCTGCTTATCCCACATTTACAAAGATATTATCCTATGATTTCTTCTACTAGCTTTATAGCTCTAGCTTTTACATCTGTGATCCCTCTCAAATTAATTTTGTGTTTGGTGTGAGACAGGATTCAAGGTTCTTTTTTCCCCATATGCATATATAATTGTTCCAGCACCATTTGTTGAAAATACTTTACTTTCCCCCATTAAATTGTCTTGGTGCCCTTGTTGAAAATGATTTGATCTTATTATTGTGGGTCTATTTCTGGACTCTGGACTCTTCCATTGATCTGTTTGTTTATTCTTATGACAATAACAAACTTTCTTGATTACCTGATTATAGTAAGTCTTGAGGTTAGGTACCATAAGGTCCAACTTAGTTCTTTTTCAAGATTATTTTGGCTATTCTAGGTTCGTTGTATTTCCTTATACATTTTAGAATCACTTTGTTAATATTTTCCAAAATAATCCTTGTTGAGATTTTCATTGGGATTCTATAGAATCTTTAGATCAATTTGGAAAGAATTTTGGAAGACATTTTATCTATTGAGTCATCCAGTACAGAAACATGCTGTATTCCTCCACTTATCTGGGTCTTCTTTAATTCCCCTTGGCAATGTTTTAATTTGTACAGGCCTTGTTCAATAATTCAAGAAAAAAGAACTCAAGGGCATACAGAATGTACAGTAAGACTAAACTGTCACTGTTTGTAGATGATGTGACTGTGTACCTAGAAAATCTACAAAAAAACTACTAGAAATAATAAATGAATTAAGCAATGTTGCAATATACAAAATCAATAAACAAAAATAAATCTCATTGCTATATACTAGCAGTGAACAATGAAAAATAAAATTTAAAGAGGTATTCATTAGCACTAGCATGCAAAGACATAAAGAACTGGTGAGAGCGGATCCTAAGAGGAGAGCACTTCATTCTGTTAATGTGCTGATTTACACTTACTGACTTTTGTGTGTTAGACTAACTTTGTACTCTGGAATAAATCCTGATGTGCCTGATATATTATCCTTTTTATACCATGCTGTATTTAATTTACCTATTTTTTTTTTAGGGTTTTCAATAGCATGGGTTTTGAAGGTGACTGTCTTAGTTTGAAATGCAGCCAAGTTGGGAAATTCTTTTAGACTCCTTTGGATTCTACTGATTAGCTAATTTGAGCATTATTTATTTTAATTGAGCACAATGATTGTGCATAAAATATAATTTTAAAATGTGTATATAATTATATTTTAGATTACCAATAACAGCTCTTAAAGCACCTGAGATATTTGTTGGTGTGCCAATGTTTTTTTTCACTGAAATAAAAGAAGTGTTAATTTTGTTTGTAACTTTCTTTTTCTATAGTATTACTACTCAATAAAAGACATTTCTGTTGGCGGGATGTGCATTTGCTACGGCCATGCTAGCAGCTGCCCATGGGATGACACTACAAAGGTGAGTCCTAGTATTTTATATTTCTCTAAATCTTCAAAATAGAAGGTGTGGCTGTAATGTCTACATTGTTCTTGTTTATTTAAGGCAGATGTTGAAAGGTATAAAATCTTTTTATTGTTTTGGATATGACTCATATTGATAGGCTATGTTGGATACAGTAGGGGATAGTACATTCTTAAAATTTATAATTAAACCTATGATTGCAAAAATAAATAAATAAGTAAATAAATAAAATCATGCCACCTAACAAAAAGGTTTTATCTGGTTTCATTGATTTAACAATTTCATTTTTATTTGTTTGGAGGATATATTTCAAATTAAGTTTTTACTGTGATTTTTTGTTTTGTAGTAAAATATTCATAAAATTTATCATTTTAACCATTTTAAAGTGTACAGTTCAGTGGCCTTATGGATTTTGAAACTCTTTTCTCTATAAGAGGTCGAGCAAAAAGCATATGTAGTTATAAATTATGTTTGTACTTTGTAAAAGAAGGGTTTCCCTTTTCTCATCTTCTCCCCTTCTGATTTGTGGTACTAAATTAAGATAAAATAAAGTTGATCTGTCTTAGTATAATATTAGGTGAATCTTCTTCTTTTAAACCACTCACATGAAGTTACTTCTTATTTTCCCCCAATTTTTGTATTTCTTTACCTTTGGAATAAGATTATTCTATTTTTCTTTTTTTGATGCTGCAAAATATATAGATAAACAGCAAGAAAATTATTCAAAAAAGCTTCCAACCCTACAAAGTCAGTATATCTTCTTAAAAACATTTTTGTTAGTTAACCTATATTTTAGTTTTGCTTTATCTTCACTTCTGTTTGTAACCACCTCATGTGTATGTTTTTCTCTAGTGTTGAAATGCCAGTTTGCTTTGATACAGCCATATATCTTTTATTGTGAAGTCTTGCCGCATATTTGACTGTAAGAGATTCTTTTTAAAACAAAATTAAGAAAACTACGCAGGTAAGGTTTTCTGATCAAATGTTGTATTCCTTGTTGTTTAGAAACTACAGTGTCAATGTGAACATAACACCTGCGGAGAGAGGTGTGACAGGTGCTGCCCAGGATACCACCAGCAGCCCTGGAGGCCTGGGACCGTGTCTTCTGGTAACACCTGTGAAGGTGAGTACACTAGAATCTGAACAGTGTAGTTCTTTCCCTCTTACCATGTTGAAGTTTATGGTGTCTTAACTTTTTAAATTTTTAAGTAACTTGTTTTCTCAGAAATCCAAATAGTTCCCAAAGCTGCAGATTACCTTAATAACGTTTAAATTATCGAGACCTAAGTGGATCTTTATGGATTTGCCATTTTACTTAAGGCTCCCTTTCCATCTATTCATTTATTCTTTATTTGGATTTAATTTTTAAATAGGTAATATATTCTCAAGATTCCAACATCTGACAATATATAAAAGTATATAGTAAAAAGCATTACTCCCACTTCATCCGCATCCTTCCCACTTTTTGTTATTTCCTAGCATGTTTCTTCTAAAATTTGTATGCAGAGGAAGCATGTATTAACATATTTCTCCTCTCCAAACAGTTGTCACACAGAGGATGACATACAACGCGTGCCATTCTGCACATTGCTTTATATATTTAACAATATATCTTGAAATTCTTTTCATATTAACAATTTGAAATGCTGTTTGTAAAAATGGTTGCAGAGAATTTCATTATGGGTATAATATAATTTAAGCAGCTACCTATTGATGAACGTTTTGGTTGTCTGTTATTAACACAAGCAGTGGTGCGTTGGTTAACCATGATTCACGAGTATGCAAACACTTCTGCAAAGTGTGATCCCAGAGGATGCATTGCTGGGTCAGTGGGTGTGCACATTTATTATTATTATTTTTTTTTTCCCCTTTTGTCTTTTTTCATGACTGGTAATGGGATCGCAACCCTCGGTGTTGCGCCCGCACCGCGCTCAACCAGTGAGCGGACCGGTCTCCATATGGGATCCGAACCCTTGGCGGGAGCGCCACCGCACTCCACCGAGTGCGCCAGGCCGGCCCCACATTTATTATTTTGATAGATATTCCCAATTATCCTTTATAATATTGTCTATATCGTATTTAAAATACTTATTCTAGAATTTTAATTTAATTTATAGTCATAGGAACTCACTTAGAGAGGGAAGGGTTTTCTCTGTAAGATACATACTATGTACATTAATTGAGATGTTAAAATATTCTCCTAGAATGTAATTGTCACAATAAAGCCAAAGACTGCTACTATGATGAAAGTGTTGCCGATCAGAAGAGAAGTTTGAACACTGCTGGACAGTTCAGAGGAGGAGGGGTTTGCATAAATTGCCTGCAGAACACCATGGGGATCAATTGTGAAACCTGTGTCGATGGATATTATAGACCACACCAAGTAAGAGTCCTTCACCACAGCTGAGCTCCACTGTCTTCCTGGAGTGCAAGAGACTTCACCGAGCCTCAGCCTCAGTACTGCAGACTCACTTTCTCTTGTAGTGCTTCATTTATGTTCCCGTGACACTGGTCGTGCTCTTCAGATCTGCATTTCCTATTCTGTCCTGTTTTCTTGCTCAAATGTGGATGTTCACTTATTGTTATTTAGCTTGGATTCGGGGGCCTGTTGGCTGTGTAATCTCAGGTAAAACCAACCGTACACATGAAGATTTAGCCAATAACTAAAGCAGCTGTATTTTGCCCATAGCAGGTGTTCAGTCAGTCCTCCATTGACTTGATAGTTGTTGCACGGATACTTGTGAGAGTCTGTTTACAGGTGATGCTTAAAATGTGGCTGTGCGGGTCAGCAGAGTGAGGGGGCTGGTAGCAGTGCTGGTGGGGAAGGGTGGCATTTGCTAATGATACTGACTGCTGTCACCCTCAGAGAGATGTTTGGGGCCTTCTGACTTGAGACCACCTTGTGCTCCTGAGATCCTACATCCCCTTGGTACACAAAATCATTGTAATAGTCCCATCTTGAATAAAAAGCTGATACCTTGTCACTGGTATTATTATTGATATTATTGCTAATATTACTGTTATTTCTAGCAAGATAATCCAGGACAATTCCTGCCTTTCAGGTTTCTCCTTATGAGGATGAGCCTTGCCGTCCCTGTGACTGTGACCCCGTGGGGTCCCTCAGTTCTGCCTGTATTAAAGATGATATCCATTCTGACTCACGTAATGGTAAGTTCTTGGTTCACTTATGTGCTTGTAGTTGATTTTTTTTTTTTTTTTTGGTGGAAGACTTGTACTTCATGGAAGCATTACCATTGTGTAGCAATTTGGTGATATGATTCTTCATTGATTCTTGTGTTCACCAAATATTTATCAAGCACCTACTATGCATCAGGCAGTTTCCTAGGACCCAGGACTATGTACGTGAACAAGATGGTCAAACTCCCCCCTCACAGGCAGACACTAAATGAATGAGTCCATGAGTAATTTAATGCCAGGAAGGGATAGTGCCCTGAGCATGAGGCAAAATTAGGAGTCACGATTGGAGGGAGACAGGGTGTGAAGGTGACAATGTTGGGGTGATGGGATGACATTTGAGCAGATAATTGAGCAATCAATGAAAGAAGAAATAGGCTGAGTTTAAAGCCATACATGGAACACAGTAAATAGCAACCCCTCTGTTTAGCTCTTAGAAGACACTTGGAGGGNCCAAATATTTATCAAGCACCTACTATGCATCAGGCAGTTTCCTAGGACCCAGGACTATGTATGTGAACAAGATGGTCAAACTCCCCCCTCACAGGCAGACACTAAATGAATGAGTCCATGAGTAATATAATGCCAGGAAGGGATAGTGCCCTGAGCATGAGGCAAAATTAGGAGTCACGATTGGAGGGAGACAGGGTGTGAAGGTGACAATGTTGGGGTGATGAGATGACATTTGAGCAGATAATTGAGCAATCAATGAAAGAAGAAATAGGCTGAGTTTAAAGTCATACATGGAACACAGTAAATAGCAACCCCTCTGTTTAGCTCTTAGAAGACACTTGGAGGGCTTTTGCATACATCATCTCACAAAGCAAGCAAATCCTCCAGTTAACTTGGTAAATGTCAATGTTCTTTTCATTTCAAAACCTGGCAAATGGACTTGAAAATACCAGAGTCTCCTGAATAGGTTGTATCTGTTCAAAACTTCTGTGACCCCATCAAATTCTCAGCCACTAGCAGTGGTCAATGGGTATTGACCAGAAGGGACAGAGGTGCTACTGTGGGGCCCCCCAGCAATGTGGAGGGTAAACTACACAACTGAATTGATCCTTATGTGTAACTGGTGAGGGGAGGGAGGTGATGCTGGTGATGACAACTGCCCTTGATTGGACTCATTTTAAAACAATATCATTTAAACTTGTCAACCGTATCAGACAGAATTTTTTGAACCCATTTCACAGGCAAGGAAACTGTAGCTCAGAGCAAGGTACTGTGGCTGGTACCCTGGAGCTTTGTGTTATCAGCAACACATTCTAACCATCTGAGCTGACTGACCAGCCCCTGCCTGTTTCTGTGAATAAAGTTTTATTGTAACAGAGCTATGGCCATTTGCTTTCGTATTGTCTGTGGCTGTGTTCAAGCAGTCACAGCTGAGTTGAGTAGTTGCAACAGAGACTCTGTGGCCAAAAAGCCTAGATTATGCACTCTCTGGTCCTTTACAGAAAAATGTTTCCTCCCCCTCCTTTTAACATCTTTTACCTTCATGTTCGGTCACTGCTGCTGTTTTCTCTCCAGGGAAGTGGCCAGGTCAGTGTCCATGTAAGGAAGGTTTTGCAGGAGAAAAATGTGATCGCTGCCAATTAAGCTACAAGGGTTACCCACTGTGCATCCGTTGTGACTGCAGTCCAGCTGGCAGTGTGAATGACGACCTGTGTGCGGAGCCGTGTCTTTGTAAGGTATGTGTAGAGGTCAAGGACACCTGAGTTTCCTTCGAGGTTCTCTGTAAAAGGAACATGTTCTATTGGCTCAGATGATCAGTTCTTGAGTAAAGCAATAAGGTTTAAGCAGAATTCCCCCTGTGTCCCCTTTCTGAGAAGTGTGACATGTCACACTCGGTTGGCCATATCGGTATCCTTAGACTTAGATGGGCACCTGATTTTCTTCTTTGGTACCTCTGGGCAGTGGCTGTATATTCCAGAGGCATGTCTGTGACTTCTTAGATCAAACCAAACACTGCATACTGTATCTTACCTTCGCTTAATTCTTCCGGAACATTCTTTTCCAGCTTTGTATTTGGAGGAGAAACAGGCAAATACTAAATTTCTAAGAACAATAGTTAAAGACAGTTATGTTATTTTGGATTTCTCTTTATTATTTTTTATTATTATTATTATTTTTTTCCTTTTTGTCTTTTTTCGTGTCTGGCAATGGATCGCAACCCTCAGTGTCGTGCCCGTACTGGAACGGGACCGGCAACGGGATCACAACCCTCGGTGTTGTGCCCGCACCTCGCTCAGCCAGTGAGAGGGAACCGGTCTGTATGTGGGATCCGAACCCTCAGCGGGAGCGCCACCGCACTCCCAAGCGGCGCACTGTAGCAGTGCGCCACCGGGCCGGCCCAGGATTTCTCTTTAAAAGGAAGTGAACAATCACAATAACTGCATTAGTATAGTACCAGTGGGGGGTTTTATTTGGCCAAATGATATTAATAACAATTTCCCCGTAATTTGTAGGACTTCCTGATGTACCTTATATGTTTATTCCCACATAAGCAGAGTCCTAGACACATGTTATACAGGGGTACTTCAAAAAGTTCATGGAAGAATAGAATTAAAAGATTATATGAATCTTTCCATGAACTTTTTGAAGTACCCTCATATATGACTGAAATTATTCTTGAGTATTTTTGAATGGGACAATTTTAGAGCCCTCTTCAGATTTTGAAATGCATGTAAGATCAGCAAAAATGGAAGTTTAAAACAAAACAAAACAAGCAATTGAAACATAATGACTGAACTCTATGATCCTTGTTCTTGCTATAAAACCAAATGGTATTTACTTGTATTTCAAACTATCTTTTCGAGGCTTCACATTTGCTTTGGGTGTTTATTCATATACTGTTCCTGTGGATCGCCGAACACCTTTCTTGTTAATGTCATTTTATTCTGCCTATCTAGAAACAAGCTAGCCTTTTACCTTAACTTACAGGAAAATGTTGAGGGAAAAGACTGTCATCGCTGCAAGCCAGGATTCTATAACCTGAAGGACAGAAACCCCCAGGGCTGCTCCGAGTGCTTCTGCTTTGGCGTTTCTGATGTCTGCAATGGCCTTTCTTGGCCCATCAGTCAGGTGAGAGGCACCACATGCGAGCCAGATTTAATCAGCAGGTTGTCTCACACTAGTTCTCTCCAAGCTGTGCTGGAAACAGCGAGGCNTGTGACATGTCACACTGGGTTGGCCATATCGGTATCCTTAGACTTAGATGGGCACCTGATTTTCTTCTTTGGTACCTCTGGGCAGTGGCTGTATATTCCAGAGGCATGTCTGCGACTTCTTAGATCAAACCAAACACTGCATATTGTTTCTTACCTTCGCTTAATTCTTCCAGAACATTCTTTTCCAGCTTTGTATTTGGAAGAGAAACAGGTAAATACTAAATTTCTAAGAACACTAGTTAAAGACAGTTATGTTATTCTGGATTTCTCTTTAAAATGAAGTGAACAATCACAATAAATGCATTAGTATAGTACCAGTGAGGGGTTTTATTTGGCCAAATGATATTAATAACTATTTCCCCATAATTTGTAGGATTTCCCCGATGTACCTTATATGTTTATTCCCACGTAAGCAGAGTCCTAGACACATGTTATACAGGGGTACTTCAAAAAGTTCATGGAAGAATAGAATTAAAAGATTATATGAATCTTTCCATGAACTTTTTGAAGTACCCTCATATATGACTGAAATTATTCTTGAGTATTTTTGAATGGGACAATTTTAGAGCCCTCTTCAGATTTTGAAATGCATGTAAGATCAGCAAAAATGGAAGTTTAAAACAAAACAAAACAAGCAATTGAAACATAATGACCGAGCTCTATGATCCTTGTTCTTGCTATAAAACCAAATGGTATTTACTTGTATTTCAAACTATCTTTTCGAGGCTTCACATTTGCTTTGGGTGTTTATTCATATACTGTTCCTGTGGATCGCCGAACACCTTTCTTGTTAATGTCATTTTATTCTGCCTATCTAGAAACAAGCTAGCCTTTTACCTTAACTTACAGGAAAATGTTGAGGGAAAAGACTGTCATCGCTGCAAGCCAGGATTCTATAACCTGAAGGACAGAAACCCCCAGGGCTGCTCCGAGTGCTTCTGCTTTGGCGTTTCTGATGTCTGCAATGGCCTTTCTTGGCCCATCAGTCAGGTGAGAGGCACCACATGCGAGCCAGATTTAATCAGCAGGTTGTCTCACACTAGTTCTCTCCAAGCTGTGCTGGAAACAGCGAGGCTGAATGTCCCTGTGATATGGCTCGCACCCATTTGGAATGACACTGACACAGGTCAAAGGCAGCCCACTCCTAAAAGTATCCCTGAAGTTTCTTTATAAGTCCTGTGTTTGTTCCCACATGTGTCAGGATGATATGGCACTGTAGAAGGCATCACGTTTGAATTTCTTCCCTGGGAAAACACATCAAGTGGGGAGCTCAGATCTCACCCCACCTGCCCCACTGGTCTCAGGCCAGAAGGCACACCAGGACATGGGTCAGGAGAATGTTCCAGCTCAGACAGGCAGGGGTGGGAGGCGTCCGGTGGCAAGGGTGAGGACAACAGCAGGAGGCACAGGGTACAGGAGGACAGGCGAGTTGTTTTGAGAACAGAGAGTTCTGGGGGGTCAGTTTGAGGGGGTGCCAAATGGTGACCAGGGGAGGAGACAGTGTGATGTCTGGAGGCCAGGGAGGGGCTGCAGGGTGGACTCATCTGCAGGTGACTACCGTTGTCTTTATGTGAGGGACAAATTGGGAGCATAGGATCTGGAGGTTATTGTCGCACATTTGCAGCATTTAGGTAAATAGCAGGGACAACAAAGAAGGGGGAGTCAGAGTTAGCAAGAGGCATTTTAATCAATGCATTTATTAAGTTTATTGCTATTTTTTGGTCTGATATATATATATATATATATACTCATGGCCATTATGCTTTTGGGTTGGTTTTTTTTTTTTTTTTTTTTTTTGCAGCTGGCCAGTATGGGGAACTGAACCCTTGACCTTGGTGTTACAAGGCTGCATTCTAACCAACTGAACTAACCGGCCAGCCCTGTCATTATGGTTTTAATCATTTATTTGCTCATAATTAATCTGGATCTGGGGGATGTGTGACTCAATCTCAGGTTTTCCTGCTCCCTGGACAAGTGGAACTGTCATGGGCTGTGCAGTTCAATAGCCACATTTTGTTAATACCATCTCTCTCCTTTGTGAAAATATTAGCACTGGACTGGGTGAATTCTAAGGTGACTTCTATTTCATATTCTAAAATACTTGGATTGTTTTTAAGGTGAGCAATATGTCTGGGTGGCTGGTCACCGATTTGGTCAGTCCAAGTAAGATCCCGTCGCAGCAGGAGGCGCTGCATGGGTGGCGCCAGGTCAGCATCAACAACACCGTGGCCCTGCAGCGGCTGGCCCCCAAGTACTACTGGGTGGCCCCGGAGGCCTACCTCGGAAATAAGGTGCGTGCACTGCCGGGAGTAACAGCGTCCTGGACAAGGTCTTGGAGAATGTTAAGAAAGAACATCTGCTGTTTGCCTTTTCCTTTTTTTTTTTTTTGTCTTTTTTTTCGTGTCCGGCAACGGATCGCAACCCTCAGTGTCACACCCGTACCGGACCGGGACCGGCAACAGGATCGCAACCCTTGGCGCTGCGCCCGCACCTCGTTCAGTCAGTGAGCGGGAACCGGTCTGTATGTGGGATCCAAACCCTCGGTGGGAGCGCCAGTGCGCCACCGGGCCGGCCCAACTGTTTGCCTTTTGAGTAGTCTCATTGGTCATGTGAGTGTTGGGCAGAGCATTTCACAGTCTCGACTTACATCCAATACACAGGATCTTTTTGATCCCTATTTGCTTTTTATTGCAGCATTTATAAATGGACATGTGTTCTTGTCCCAGTTCCTAAGCAACCTGTTCTGTGAATCTTCATCCCCTTCCCTGTGGCAGACTTCTGACTTTCCTCCTGGATTCGCAGTCCACTCGGGCCTTCCTGAAGTGCTCGTCACATGTCTGCAGTTTAGTGGTGGCAGACTCACTGCTCGGCATACGGCAGTCCCTCAGAGAATGTTCCACCCTGGGACTGCAGTGTCGATCCCCCACTTCCACATCAGGACAGTGTGGCAGACTTCTGACTTTCCTCCTGGATTTGCAGTCCACATGGGCCTTCCTGAAGTGCTTGTCACATGTCTGCAGTTTAGTGGCGGCAGACTCACTGCTCGGCATACGGCAGGCCCTCAGAGAATGTTCCACCCTGGGACTGCAGTGTCGATCCCCCACTTCCACATCAGGACAGGCTATTGCTCATGTAGAGTTCACATTTAGCAACAGACAGAATACTTTCTGTTTTAATTTTAAGAAAATTCAAAATGGTGATTCTACCACGTGGAAAGTTGGTTTCCAGGCTGAACCTTCCCTTCCATGGCATGTTCCCACCTCCCTCACGGTTTGTGCCCCTTCTCTCCAGGTTCTGACCAATCTGAAAACACATTTGGGGGAATCTGTCTCAACAACTACAGCTCCCCACTCACCTTACCAGGAGTTTGGTTTGTTTTAAAGTAATGGAATACTTTCATAGTAGAGTAGTCTTGTATCTTGGTAAGTTTCTAGTTAATTTCATGGCTATATTTTAATTTTATAATTTGTTTTGTATATTTCTAAGGAGCGTTGTTTTCTAAATAATTTTTTTTCATCAAATTATAATCCTAGAACATGTGCTCTATTTATAATATGATCTTATCACCAGAGGTCAATTCTTCTTCTCTCTTGAGATCACTTGTCCAGTTTTATGGTGCAAAATTGGATTCTGAACAACATATTGTCGTAACATACCCATCAGAAAGAAAATCTTTACTTTACATTAAAGGATATCTGATCAGGAAGAAATACCTTTAGTCCTTCCTTTAAGTAGCCGATCAAACATGCTCCTTGCTTTTCTCCTGCAAGCAGGACAATCAAATCAAAATGTTGAGATTGTAGTCAAAGATCAAACTCCCCACCCCCTAAATTATTTAAGTTAAATAAATGTTTATTATGTGATTAACAGAAGTTTATAGTAATTTACCTTGGGGTCTCTAAGAAGGAGTGCATTTTTCTTCTGTGCGTTCAAATAATATCCTATATTTGGGTAATATTGATTAAATGAAATATTCATATAAAATGCTCCCCTTTCTCTGCCTTTAATGTGAATTTTCTTACATATTGTGGCCACTGAGATATCTTGCAGCCTAGATGTTTCCAGATGGATCCTAAAGAACACTTTCTCTCACTTGGGGCTGTAACTGTTTTCCCCTTTGGTGTTTACTTTCACTTAAACATTTCAGCTGACTTCATTTGGTGAATTCCTGAGATACACCGTGTCTTATGACATTCCAATGGACACAGTGGACAGTGACCTCATGTCTCATGCCGACGTCATCATTAAGGTAATTGCTTTTGCATTGTTTTTGCTGTCGTGCTTGGGGCTTAGTGGGGTGATAGTTTTATGACTAAAAGTGGCTAGGCAAGGCTAGAAGGATTCCCAAAGTGATAATGTCCCAAGGCCTGCGGCACGCCTGGGCACAAACCATTTCAGGTTCCTGTCTCAGATGTCTGCACCCCATTCCTCTTACCCTGAGTGAGCTGCTCCTCCACCTCTAGCCCGAACAACTAGAAACCATGGAAAGTACATCACTTTTGTTAACAGCAATTTTATGGAAAGCTGGAGGTATATTTACATACTTTTTCTACTTCTGTTCTTTAATTACAAATTAAGGATGTCAGATGGGCTGCCTTAATAAAAACTGTGGGCAAATGCATGCCTTTGTTTTCTTTCCAAGATCCCAGCAAAGTTCACAGTCTTTTGATTTATTATTGGAATCCTCTAAAAGGAATACGGTGAAACACCTTTTCTTTGATAGTTCTAGACCAAGAGTTGCACACACCATTACATGTTTGCTGCTGGAACACAAGTGAAAAACCATGTTGCTGAACACAAAATTTGATTTTGTTTTTAATCATTAAATTGAATTATAAATACACTTCCTCTTGTTTTTAAATGTTAGGGAAATGGACTTGTTCTAAGCACCCAGGCTGAGGGCCTGTCACTTCAGCCCTACGAAGAGTACTTGAATGTGGTTAGACTCGTGCCTGAGAACTTCCGAGATTATAATACCAAAAGGGAGATCGATCGTGACCAGCTGATGACTGTCCTTGCCAACGTGACACATCTCTTGATCAGAGCCAACTACAATTCTGCAAAAACAGCTCTTTACAAGTATGTATTGAGAAGGGAGGGAAAACTTACGGTGAAGGTACTACAATCTTTATTTATTATTATATATTTTAAGCTTAATATATTTTACATTTACTATTTTAAGGATACAGCTAAAGGAACCTGCCATCTTATAAAGTATTTTTAATGTAATTTTATTGAAGATATAAAAATAGTCATCCATGACAAATGTATCTAGCAGGAAACAGACTTGACGTTAGGATCAGAAACTTTCAAGGAGGGTTTCTGAGAAGAGCCTGATGAGTTAACAGTCACCTGGACCATGTTGTATCTGGTTCTTTCTCTCCTGATGTTAAAAGTCTGTTTAAGCTAATGTGTCCATCCTTGGTCATTTTACTACCTTAAGGACGTCAGTTTCTGGCAATGCCTGCCTGGCCAGGCATAAAAGTTGGATGCAGCTAATGCAAACATAGTATGATACATTGAGAATAACCTCTGTATTACTGGTAAGTCTACTGAATGGACTGATTTTTCACAAGTGTTTCGATGTCAAATGCAACATCAGACCCTTCCTACAGCTTTCTATGCACATTAAATGATGACCGCGTTTCCCAGAAATAATAATCATGGCTCCCAGAACGTGTACCTCTGTGAAAATCTTTAGTTACAAAAATTACATCACCATTTTGTTTGAATTAAATCTTTTAGAAACCCATCTTCACTGACGTGTGAGATGTCACTTGTGAGCCTGTGAGTCACATAATGGCCCCCATCTGTTGTAGGTTGGATTCTGTCTCTCTGGACACAGCCAGCCCTAATGCTGTAGGCCTGGCAGTGGCCGCTGACGTGGAGCACTGTGAATGTCCCCAAGGCTACACAGGGACCTCCTGTGAGGTAATGCTTTTCCTCTCTTACCATCTTCTCCCTCTCTTTCTTTCCTACGGGAAAAACAGTGCTCTGGAGGTGATGTAATGATGCACATTTGATTTAGGTTTAGAAACCCAGCGTTTGACTCAGACTCTTTTGGGCTATCAGAATATTACAAGTCAGTCACATTGTTTAAAGAAATCTAATTCCCCTGCCAGGTGTGAGCTGGGGTCCCCGAAAATACCCTGACTCAGTGCTGCTCTCTTGCCTTAGTCAACAGGAAACTTGCAATATTGATGCCATATTTTACATTTCTAAGGAGGATTGAACTTGATTGCGTTTGAACATTTACAAATCAGCTGCACAAGAGCAGGATAGCTTTAGACAAGCCAAGTTCATTTTGAGACCTTTTATGGGCCCCAGCTCTTTTACATTGATGGTCTCCACTTTACATGGGAAGAATATGAAAATGCACTTGTGATCATCAATAAAAGTAATTTGTTTCCAAAAATATTTTGAAATTATTTGGACATATAATAACTTCCTGTGCAATTGGCACTATTCTAAGCTCTCTCAATACATTACTTTATTTAATCCTGACAATTGCCATTATCTGGTAGCTACTCCAGATGCTTCCTGTTCTGAAGATTAGGAAACTGAGGCACAGTGAGATGAAATAACTTGACCAAGGTAACACATTCCAAAGCAGTCACGTCAGGATTTGAACTTCATCTGTGCTGTATCCCACCTGTTCATGATTGAACATTTGTCTTTGGCTGTGATTTCTTGGCAATTATTTTTACATAGTGAAAAAATTTAAGCCATAAATTGTTTTTATGAATATTTATCCGTCAAAAATTTTGCAGTCCATAAGTTGGCCTAATGTTTCATGATACAGGGCACTATTCTAAGCTCTCTCAATACATTACTTTATTTAATCCTGACAATTGCCATTATCTGGTAGCTACTCCAGATGGTTTCTGTTCTGAAGATTAGGAAACTGAGGCACAGTGAGATGAAATAACTTGACCAAGGTAACACATTCCAAAGCAGTCACGTCAGGATTTGAACTTCATCCATGCTGTATCCCACCTGTTCATGATTGAACATTTGTCTTTGGCTGTGATTTCTTGGCATTTATTTTTACATAGTGAAAAAATTTAAGCCATAAATTGTTTTAATGAATATTTATCCGTCAAAAATTTTGCAGTCCATAAGTTGGCCTAATGTTTCATGATACAGATATTTAATTAAATATTTCTATGTCAAATATTTTGCAAGGTTTTTTAAAAATAAATTTGAAACCAATTAATTTTGGGGGGGTCTTAAACATTTATTTTTAGGGCCAGCCAATATTTGTAGGTCCTACGCACTGTATGCCTGTTGCTTAATGGATAAACGACTCTCAGGCCACATCTCAGTTTGTGGGATGTGGGATTAGGAGAGCAGGTGGGTTGAGCAGGACATCCTGGAAGGAGAAGGCTGCCTGCAGGGCCAGGAGGGGGCAGCAGTGAGCAGCTGCTGGAGTGCTCCGAGGCCACCAGGCTTTGGAGAGAAATGGGGCCATTGTGCGTGGGGTGGTGGCTCAAGCAAGCACAAGAAGCATAACATGTTTTCAAGTGTTTCTGTTAAGCAGAACTCATTCTTTAATCAAACTTTTACTCAGAAGCTGACAAAGAATCAGGCAGCTATTGGTAGGGAATGGAATTCTCCGCAGCACTTCCAGGCCAGTGTCTACTCAACGTCCACCTGCAGATGACCGGGGTGTGGGCGGGTGGAAGCGTTAGGGAACTTTCACAATGTCTGTGTGAATAAACGTGTTTAGAAATTGTTTGTATAATTAAAATACTCTTTAAGAATTCTTATAGAAATAAAAACTAAATCCAAGCCCCCTCCTCCCATGCTCCTGTGGGAATGTGCTGGCTTCCAAATTAATCATTCCCAAGTCTGCGCTTAAAGGAGTTTCATGTCTGCTGGAGGCCTTGGCAGCTTACTGTGGGCATGGCCTTGGAGGTGTGCACACCCGGCTTTGAGTCATTCAACGACACACTAGGCACAGTATCTAAGTCCTCTGTGTCCCACACTCTGTGTCCATAAAGTAGAGATACTGTTTCCCAGGGTTGTCATGAGGCTCAGATGAATTGCTGTGTGTGGGTGGCTCCCGCTCCTCACAGGCAGGATGGCATTCCTGAGTGCCCACGCTGCCGGTCCAGGCTTAGCCCAGGACAGCAGCCCTGTAATGCTGGCTTAGTTACACTGATGCTGCTTAACACAGACCTGCACTTTGAATACTGTACTTTGTTTAGTGGCAAACTTAATGAATTCCAAGCAGAGGAAAACAAAATAAAGTTGAAAGAAAAAAATTCTCTGGGTTGAAACACTGGTTAAATGGCTAAGTGTTCCATGATTTCTATTTTAATAATATTGGAATGGAATACCACTAAATGTATGCTGACTTGTGGCGACTCTTAAGTTTTTGTGTGCATGTCTTTACCTTTAAAAGGAAATAAGGAACTGCATGACAGTGATGGTTGCACAGCTTAGTAAGTTTACTGAAATCATTGAATTGTACACTTAAAATGGGTGAATTTTATAGAATGTAAATGATATGTTGATAAAGATATTTTTAAAAAGAAAAAAATACATTTCTCTACTCATGGAAAAGTTTTTTCTAAAATGTTCGAAAGAAGGTGATTCGCGTAATAGACAAAGTCGCATTCACGAGCACAGGTCACCTGCCCTTCTCTTGCAGTCGTGCCTGTCTGGCTATTACCGTGTGGATGGAATACTCTTTGGAGGAATTTGTCAGCCCTGTGAATGCCACGGCCATGCAGCTGAGTGTGATATTCGCGGCATTTGCCATGTGAGTCTGTTGCTAGAACCTCAAGCGCCCTCTCCTCCCCATTCCAAGCCATTTGCTGCAGAGAATGATTTTCAAAACGCTTCCTCCACAGAATAGCCCTGATCTTGTAAAAAGAAGGACTTTCCTTTCTCAAATGAAATTTGCAGATTTAAGTACATCATGAAATGTTTCCTGGGTTTTTTTTTCCATTTTTTAAAAAGTTACTTTGCTAGTAGTAGAAAAGGCATATATAATTTCATAGCAGCTTTTTAAAATTAGAACAATGAACAATAATTATTTATTGCTTACTAAGATTATAAAGCAATATAAAGGTCAAAAATGTTGTCCACTAATTAAATACAAAGAGTTGGATCTTTTCAATGACAAGTGCTAGTATTTTTCACATTATATTTCATAGTATACCATAAGAAGAAGAATAAAACTTCTAATAATCACACTCATTTGTACAATATGTAATGCTTTATAGTTATTTTAGATAAACTCTTCAAACAAGTACCTCTTTCATGCAACATGAGCTGAAACAGGGCTTAACAAATATGTAGTAAATCTTGAGAATGAACTTCAGGGCAGGTACAGGGCAAGACTTGTTTTTTAACTTCAATCAGGAATTCTTTGAATCCTTGAAGCCAGGCCACCCTGGGCTCTAATGGCTCTGCTGCTCATAGTTGGAGTGAATGCACATGCTAATCAGCTGCTGTCATCCCCAGGTGGGGAAATGCTCGTGCTCTTTCCAAAAGAGATTGATTGAGCCACAGGGCCAGGGAAAATTAATTATCAGACCCATGGAGAAGGTCTTAGCATGATTCGCTGGATTGATTATTCTCTCTAGAGCCTCGTTTTTCTTCTTGCTATAAGGACAGCTTCATTTTGTTCTGTGTTCATTTCTTTGTTCTGTAAGTCGGGCGTCTGCAGGCGTTGCATGAAGTGCTGGTTCGCAGGCAAACTCGGTCCCTCTGGCATCGGTGTCCTCAGGTACACAGCATCCAGCGGCTTGACAAGGTTGTAGCTTTTTTCACGTCTCTCCCTGTGCCATTCGGGCTTGCAGGCCAGCCTTTCACAGACCCCCACAGCCAGCATTGTGGTTTTAGTTACAGCTAGGCTGAAAGGATAGATTTCTCATGCTTTATTAATACTGTATATATTTACAGAAATATAATCATAAATATGCTAAATAGCAACCGGCCTCAAAGCTTTAATTGCAATAAATAATTATTTTATAGTTTGAAACATTATTTTGGAAATAATTTTATTCTTAGGAAGAGTTACAAAAACAGTACGGAGAGTTCCTGGGTAACCTTCACCCAGCACGCCTAATGCTACCATCTTGCATAACCAGAGTATGGTTATCACACTAAGAAGTTAACACTGGCCCAGTGTGACCAGCTAACTCAGACTTCATTCCAGTTTCACCAGTTTCTCCGTCCATGTCCCTTTTTTTTTCTTTTCTAGAGTCAAACCCAGGACCCCCCACTGCGTTTAGCAGCCTTGTCTCTTAGTCTGCTCTATTCTGTGACAATTCCTCAGCCTTTCCTTGTCTTTCACGACTGTGGCACTTTTGAAGAGGGCTGGGCATTCTGTGGAACATCCTTCAGCAGGGCTTGCCTGGTCTTTTCCTGTGACTCAGCTGACATTTGCACTTCAGCATAATGCTCTGCTTTTCTACCCTGTCACCCATTTTGCAGTTTCATCAGCTGACTCACGCTGTCCTGTGTAGCATTTCTGCCTCCAGCACGGGCCCCACCTAGGGTTGGGTGTCGCATCCCACTGCCACGTCTCTGCAGGCTTCTTTAATCTGGAATGTTTCCGCAGCCTTTCTTTGTCTTTTATGACACTGGCATCTTGAAGAATATGATCATTTTTTTAAAAAAATAGAATTTACCTCATTCTGGTTCCTGGTACTGTTTTCTCATGGGTGGATTCAGGTTGTGCATTTCAGGCCAAAATACTGTGTTAGTAATGTCGTGTCTTTCTCAGGGCACCATGTGTGGAAGCCCACATATCCATGTGCCACTCACTGGTGGTCTTCATTCTGATCACACAGGTGAGGTGTTGGTCACTTTCTCCACTATATATTTACTATTGTTTCCTTTGCAAAGAATAAGCAGTCTGAGGAATGCACTTTACCACCATGCAAGTATGCCCTTCCTCCTCAGAGCTTGCCCTCAGGTTTAGCGGTCTGATGATTCCTGCCTAACCAGCACTTACTACCATGTTTGCAGGAGATCCTCTAACTCCAGCACTTCCCCTTTGCTTATCAGTGGCACGCAGCAGCTTCCTGGTGTCAGCAGGAGCCCTCCCTTCTCATATGTTTATTTATTTATCTACTTGTTATCTCTCTGTACTCATGGATTCCAAATTGTCCCTGATGTGGCCAGAGGGGGCATATCCTGTAGCTTCTGATTGCATGGTGCATATTGTGCAATGAATGTTGTTGCATTGCTGGGTTTCTGGATTTTGTAACTTTCCTTTAAAGAACATGTAAGTTCATTCTGGCAGGCAGTTAAATTATTTCAGGTCAGCCTGATTGCTTCAAGAGTTGTGTCAAGCTTTGCTAGGGTGGGTGCAATGTAGCCTTTACTCTATGGCAGGTTTGCTTTGCCATTAAGGAGCTGCCTGGGGCCTTTGCCACTTGGAACACCTATTGCTCAGAAGACTCTGAGTGGGTATCTCTGAGTTCCCCACCCTAGCTTGTTGGAATTCTGATGTTCCTTAGCTCTGTACTTGTTCTAAATTGTTCAGCTTACAGCTCACCTATATTTCTAGGTCTGGCCTCATTGAGTTTCACTGTATGCACAGGCAACTTAGTATTCAGCCATCTGAAGGGGTCCCCTGTGCAGATTTCTGGAGCTCATACTCTATGAAAGCTCCAGTACTCTGCCCAGATCTCACTTCATCCAGTCTCCCCAAACTCTGACCTCTGTTCCTCAAATCAGCAAGACCACCATGCTCTGCTTGGGCTCCCACCCAGCAGGTGTCTCCAGGCATACGGACATACGATCCTAGGACACCCTCGATGCCTGCCCTCTCCAGGGCATCACAGACCTGCACTAGCTATTGTTCAGCTTCTGAAGGCAGCTGTTTGTTACATTTTGTTCCAGTTTTCCACTTGTTTCCTACAGGTGGGCAAGTCTGGCACCAGTTACTCTGACATGGTGTAAATGTTTCTAGGTTTCTCATTTATACAAATTACATTTTTAAAAAATAGTTCATCTGAAAACAGGTAATCCTTCATCATATAACTTAGAGTGTAGCGACTTGTTTTAACATTTTGTCTTTTCTTTCACTTGGACTTCAAGTGAATCAGAAAACCTTTTTAGGAAACCTGAGCTGACCATCCTTTCCATCCTGTGCTCTAGGCATGCACGCACAACACCACCGGAGCACACTGTGAGCAGTGCCTGCCCGGCTTCTATGGGGCGCCTTCTCGAGGGACTCCTGGGGACTGTCAGCCTTGTGCCTGCCCTCTTTCCATGGCCTCCAACAAGTAAGACCCTCACCTCCACCCGCGCTCCTGCCCAGTGCACCAGGATTCCCATCTAGTGCACTGTATCTTCCGAGCAAGACTGTGTGTGTGTTCTAAGTGTGATAAGCGTGCGACTCTTGCCCAGTGGGGGCTGACCAGGTTTAAAGAAGGGAGGTTGGATTCTCTTCTTTAAAATAAGCGTGGTATATCCAGTTATGTATCCAGTGTGTGACATGCACGCTGTCCCCTCTCCAGTGTTGGTCATCAGCTCTTTCACGGTGTGCGTTGTTTGCCTGCCACTGGGTTAGGAGGTAGGAAGGAAACAGAGATGCATGAAACATTGGCCCTGGGCTTAGGGAGTTTTTGACTTAATAACCAAAATAGAAAATGTGAGGCTAAATGAGAATGGTCGGTGGAGGGCTGGACCTGTGCTCTCTCTTCCTTCCTCCCCACCTGCGGCTGCCTCTGGGACCCCATGTCATCACCCACTCAGAGCACGACGCCTCCCAAGAAGGGAGGAGACAGAATTAAACCAGCCCCAATCAATGGAAGATCTGGAACCTCTCTGAGAACTGGTGTTGCTGGATTGCCAAATGTTGGGAAATCTGCCTTCTTCAATGTGTTAACCAAGTCAGGCTTCAGCAGAAACCTCCCCATTCTGCACTGTCCATCCTCATGACAGCTGAGCCCCTGTGCAAGAGGAGAGGTTTGACTTTCTTTGCTAGTACCACACACCAGCAAGCAAAATTCCTACCTTCCTAGTGTAGCAGCTATTGCTGGCCTTGGGGAAGGAGCTCCCAATGGGCAGGGCCCGGAACATGGCTTTTTATCTCATATTAGTGCCTGTGATGGGATCTTTCATCAAACACGTGCTTTTGAAGATGATGGTATCACACATGTTGAAGGAAGTATAGGTCCTATTCAAGATATAGAAATAATACATGAAGAGCTTTATTGGTAAACTAGGAAAGGTGGCTGTGAGAGGAGGAGATAAAAATCTAAAACCAAAATATGACATCATGTGCAAAGTCAAATCCCAGGTTATACATCCAAAGAAACCGGTTCGCTTCTATCATGATTGGAATGACAGACTGGAGTGCTGAATAAACACTTATTTTTTACTTTAAAATCAGTGGTCTACTTGGTTAGTCTTTCTGGAAAAGCATACACTAGAAAGAAAACAAGTGGTTGATAAAAATGAAAGAGCAGGTGGACAAGTGTGACCAGATGCCTTGGTCATTCCTTTTAGTGGGGCCTTGGAACTCAAGTGGCATGAATTGAGTGCTGAGGAGAGACAGAAGCGTCTGGAAGCAAACATGGCACAGAGTGCTCTGTCCAAGATCATGGAGGCCGGGTTTGCAGCCTCCGGCTAGAACACTTTTCCCCTGCAGGCCCGGATGAGGTGCCTGTGTGGGCCACCAGGAAAGGGACGACGGCTCCACAGCAGCAGCAGGGAAGACTCACAACAGAGTTTGTAAAGGGGTTCATCATGGCTGCAGTAATGAAACAGGAAGATCTTAAAGATGAAGTTTCCGAGAATGCAGTCAAGGTTGCTGCAAAGTACAGACAACAAGGCAGAAATTACATTGTTGAACATGACATTATCTTCACCTCAACAACCAAAGAAGAAATAACTTTTAGTTACTGCTCAGATAAATGCACAATTTCAAAAAGGCATATGATTTTTTTAAAAAATTAATATTTATGAAAACCAAAGGGACAAATAAAGGAGGGGGTGGGAATCTTCTACAAATTATTTTTGTTTTAAAATTGAAATACCGTGTACTTTGAGGGAAAAGCAAGTTCACTAAATGTGAGCATTTTTGCTTTTTACATGATTAAGACCCTGCTCCAAATCATAGAAGCTTTTCAGGAACCATGTTGCTGTCATGATACTTCATTAATCTGTCCGTGGACGCCAAGCTCAACACCTTTGACAGTGGGGACCACGTGGCTTGCTTCTTTTTGAATTTACAGATAATGCAGGTTTTATAGGACTCCAGATGTCTACACTCACTTAAACATTTGACAAAACCAGAAAATAAATAAATAAGAATGGTCTGAGTTCATTCATTGATTGAACAAGTATTTGGGTGCCTACTGTGTACTGGGTATTCACAGCAGGGGCTGAGTGTCCACCTGCTCGTGCATAGCTGCTCGCCCCAGGGGACTCACAGTGTGGTCCTGGCCATAGCGGGGTCCTGTCCAACCTCCCTGGTGGCGCAGGAATGACACTACAGAAGCTCTGCTAGCAGACATGAAGGATGGGGAGGAATTGATCAGCACAGGAGGGCATTCCAGGCAGAAGAACAGAGTGTGCCAGGGTATGGAAGCACAGAGGACACATCCTGTCCGAGGAGTCGCAGGTGGCCCTGGAGCAGAAGGCATGGAAGGTGGAAGGAGGCAGCCTGGGCACGGCCTCATACCCCAGGTTCTCTCTCAGGTTCAAAGCTCTTCCTCCATGCGCCCCCAAGGAATTCCCCACAGGGCTTTTCATTTGAATCTCCAGTGTATAAAAGGAAAGATTGAGGAATAGGGCTTGAAGGGACCTCAGTCAGCAGTGGGAGTCCTTGGGGAGGCAAGGAGCCACCTGATGCCCTTGAAAGCAGGGCCAAGGACCCCGAGGGGAGGGACCCAGCTTCCCAGGAGCACCTAGTGGGACTGGAGGCAGCGACAGCAGAATGGGGCTTTGGGCTGGGCTGGGTTAGCCCGGGCAGAGAGGGGCAGAAGCAGTAAGCGCCCTGTGGCTAAGGGACAGGGGCATGGGTGCTCAGGGAGGGCCGTGGGGACAGACAAGGCCCACAGGACGGGCTGGGTGGCTGAGGCCTCGGGTTCTGGGCTAAGTTTGTACAGACAGGAGTGCTAAAAATTAAGCATTTTCAATATTTAGAAATCCTGCACCATCTGTTATAAAACTGCACTCATTTCTAATGTTTCGACAGTTTCAGCCCCACCTGCCACCTCGATGACACCAACGAAGCGGTCTGTGACCAGTGCGCTCAGGGACATGCGGGAGCCTGGTGTGAGAGGTGCTCTGTGTCGCTCCACTGGTTTTGAAAAGCGGCATCATATTTTTTTAACTAAATATGAATTCTATGTGTTTTTTAAAAATATGGGTGTGGTTTTAGAGTTTGGGTGTATAATTATTTCATCTAAACAAAGAAAAAACGTATAGCAGTTAAAAATTAATGTTAAAACTTGGGAGTTTTTACGGAATGATATTCTTTCTCTAAATAATTAGCTTTTCTCAGAGCTAATCTGAGTTCTCATCCAGAACAATGGGATACAGTGAGGAGTTAGTGTTTACAGCTCGCCCATGTCAGTATTCCATCACTCTGGACCATTCTCTAGGTGACAAGTGGCTTGATTTAACAGTTGTCTGCGGCGCCTGACCACTAGTGTTGTGTTTTACCACATGCAAGGCTTCGTGCCCAGCTCTGGCTAAGCCTACAGTGAGGAGTTAGTGTTTACAGCACGCCCATGTCAGTATTCCATCACTCTGGACCATTCTCTAGGTGACAAGTGGCTTGATTTAACAGTTGTCTGCGGTGCCTGACCACTAGTGTTGTGTTTTACCACATGCAAGGCTTCGTGCCCAGCTCTGGCTAAGCCCATAGGGGAGCTGGGTGGCATCCCCAGTGGTCCGGTTTGGGTTGGAGTTGGCTCTGGAGACAAATTTACTGGAGTATGTCTCATTTTGGCATTGAAAAATAAATAAAATTATAGTGTGTTCCTCCTAAGTTTATGAATATTCAAAGAAATATTGAATGTGACAGCACAAACTGACACATCAAACGATAAATATGATTTTGTATTATCATCAGTATTTTGTGATGATCTTACTCACATTGAACTTTGAAATATTTGCATATTTCCCAAAGGAAAAGGAGGCTTTAAATAGGAGGGAGACACAGCAGGAGATAGAGAGAGACAGGAAGAAAGCCAGAAGCGCGGGTGTCCCGAAAACCTCAGTCAGCTCCAGGCTCCGAAGGGACAAAGGTCATTGATCATGTTCCATTAGAAAGATTCCATAAGATGAGGTCTAAATTCTGCTCTCTGAGTTTAGCCCCTGGGAAGTCTCCGGAGACTTTAGGAAGAGCAGTTTTGGCAGACAAGGGGCCAGGAGGACCGTGCACAAGTTGGGCTGGATGGACGTGCTCAGAGGGAGAGACAGTAGGGAGCAGGGGGAGGCAGGATCTCAGAGGGAGGGTGTGTGCGTGTGTGTGTGTGTGTGTGCGTGTGTGTGTCTTGGATAACTTTGTCTTGAGTGGTTACCTGTGTTAATGCAGGATCTCTAACTGGTCTAATATAGACCTGAGACCTAATTTTTTTTTCCCTCATATGCACCACAGAATCACAACATGATGCCATTTATTTACAAGACTCTGAAAGCATGAGTCTCCACGATCAAATATGTACATTTTAATATTTGAATATTTACATACTGAAACCATATCCTGGCTCAATGTTAAGAATGGTATTTTCAAATATCCTCTCAAAATGTAAAAATATCTAGTAACTCATGCTCACCGTTTTGCTTGTCTAACAAGCCAATTTTTAGCTTTCTTTTAAATAAATATTCAGACATGGGAACGACTAAAACTAATTTGTGTTAAGAACTATTTAAAACTTGTTACACTTTCAGGTACTTTAAATCCTGAAGTTCTGATCTACAGTAAAGAAAGTCCTGGATATGCCAAGACCTAATTTTTCCCTCTCCGTTGGCTCAATTAGTTACTATCCACGAAGGCCAGTGGCCTAGAAAGCACGCACTCTTCCACTGGAGGAGAGAGTGTTAACTGACAGAGCACAGCTCTGCTCCCAGTGACTGACGTGTTAGAAGCGCACTGACGCTCAAAGCCTGTCAGGTTTGCCAGGGAGATGTTAAGGGGTTGTATGAGGCAGTCGGGATTTCCAGACATAGGGTGGGAAATGGTGAGATCTAACCCAGAAACTGCTAAAGCGGGGTGTAGGCACGACTTGGCCGAGTGTGCCAGAACTACCCGACCCCCGCTCACATCTCTGCTGAGTTCTGCTTCCAGCCTTGAAATCACGTAGAACTACTCACTGAGAAAAGTAGATTTTCATATACCTGAGATGACTTTGCCTTAGGGCTGATACAGCCTTCGTATTTGTTTATTTGTTTGCACAGTCTTAAAGAAGAAGTGAATGAATAAAAACGGCAATTACAAATTTTGATAATTTCAGGGAAATGCTGAAGTCCTCCCATGATATTATAACGTGGAGACACAAGAGGGCGCCAGCGACACAGAAAAAGTCTTTTTAGAGGCACAGGCTCATTTCACGACCCTGGGCCTATTACCCTGATCTTCAGCACTGTGGCTACCCTAACTAAGTATCACAGCGGGATAATGATAACTGGTATTTGTACAATGCTTCAAAGTTTATAGAATATTTTTGCAATTCTCATGTCATGTTTTTTCATCTTTACTGAAAACTTTCATGATTCATTTCTCCCTTCATTTATTGTTTATGAAGTGTCCTGTTTCCAGGCCTCTATTCTAAGTACTGTGATAGGTAGTTGGAAAATTATGGTCCAAGTCTATTGGGAAACTACACATGGTGGTGTCGGGGGAAAAGCGCACGTGTGGACCCCTTGGAGTCTGCCTGATGTGGGTGTCATTCCAGGGTGGGTGACTGAGCTGTGTGACATGAAGCAGAATTATTAACCTCTCTGAGCCTCTATTTCCTCACAGATAAAATGCACATAATTATATGTACATATGAAGGCCTTTCTGAGAAGTCAGTGGGATAACAAATTTAAAGTTCTAGACACTGAGTAAATGGTAGATATTATAATTACTACTAATAAAAACAGCATTTCTATTATTTTTCTATACCAGTGCTGCCCCATAGAAATNGCCTGACCACTAGTGTTGTGTTTTACCACATGCAAGGCTTCGTGCCCAGCTCTGGCTAAGCCCATAGGGGAGCTGGGTGGCATCCCCAGTGGTCCGGGTTGGGTTGGAGGTGGCTCTGGAGACAAATTTACTGGATTATGTCTCATTTTGGACACTCTCCCCGTGTGTCACAATGGGTGAAGGAGCTCTGTGAATGCCTAAACGTGGAGTTACAACCCTTTCACAGTAAATCTCACAGAAAAGAGTCAGTGAGATTTATTAGCCATTCAAGGTGTGCCTGGACAGTGGGGTAGTTTCCTGAGTAATTGCATTGATTGGATCCCACTTTGAATCTTTGATGCAGATGTGCAGACGGTTACTATGGAAACCCAAAAGTGCCCGGGGAATCCTGTGTGCCGTGTGACTGCAGCGGCAATGTCGACCCTTCAGAGGCTGGTCACTGTGACTCAGTCACCGGGGAATGCCTGAAGTGCATGGGGAACACAGACGGCACCCACTGTGAAAGGTGTGCTGCTGGCTTCTACGGGGACGCCGTGACTGCTAAAAACTGCCGAGGTGTGTGCAAGTGCAAGTGGGTCTGTTACTTATTGCCTGCTGTGAATCTCTTCCATCCACTTACGTGTCTGAAAAAACTCAGACTGCTGGATAACTTTGTCTTGAGTGGTTACCTGTGTTAATGCAGGATCTCTAACTGGTCTAATATAGACCTGAGACCTAATTTTTTTTTCCCTCATATGCACCACAGAATCACAACATGATGCCATTTATTTACAAGACTCTGAAAGCATGAGTCTCCACGATCAAATATGTACATTTTAATATTTGAATATTTACATACTGAAACCATATCCTGGCTCAATGTTAAGAATGGTATTTTCAAATATCCTCTCAAAATGTAAAAATATCTAGTAACTCATGCTCACCGTTTTGCTTGTCTAACAAGCCAATTTTTAGCTTTCTTTTAAATAAATATTCAGACATGGGAACGACTAAAACTAATTTGTGTTAAGAACTATTTAAAACTTGTTACACTTTCAGGTACTTTAAATCCTGAAGTTCTGATCTACAGTAAAGAAAGTCCTGGATATGCCAAGACCTAATTTTTCCCTCTCCGTTGGCTCAATTAGTTACTATCCACGAAGGCCAGTGGCCTAGAAAGCACGCACTCTTCCACTGGAGGAGAGAGTGTTAACTGACAGAGCACAGCTCTGCTCCCAGTGACTGACGTGTTAGAAGCGCACTGACGCTCAAAGCCTGTCAGGTTTGCCAGGGAGATGTTAAGGGGTTGTATGAGGCAGTCGGGATTTCCAGACATAGGGTGGGAAATGGTGAGATCTAACCCAGAAACTGCTAAAGCGGGGTGTAGGCACGACTTGGCCGAGTGTGCCAGAACTACCCGACCCCCGCTCACATCTCTGCTGAGTTCTGCTTCCAGCCTTGAAATCACGTAGAACTACTCACTGAGAAAAGTAGATTTTCATATACCTGAGATGACTTTGCCTTAGGGCTGATACAGCCTTCGTATTTGTTTATTTGTTTGCACAGTCTTAAAGAAGAAGTGAATGAATAAAAACGGCAATTACAAATTTTGATAATTTCAGGGAAATGCTGAAGTCCTCCCATGATATTATAACGTGGAGACACAAGAGGGCGCCAGCGACACAGAAAAAGTCTTTTTAGAGGCACAGGCTCNAGGGTGGGTGACTGAGCTGTGTGACATGAAGCAGAATTATTAACCTCTCTGAGCCTCTATTTCCTCACAGATAAAATGCACATAATTATATGTACATATGAAGGCCTTTCTGAGAAGTCAGTGGGATAACAAATTTAAAGTTCTAGACACTGAGTAAATGGTAGATATTATAATTACTACTAATAAAAACAGCATTTCTATTATTTTTCTATACCAGTGCTGCCCCATAGAAATGTAATGTAAGCCACACATGTAATTTAAAATTTTCTAGTACCCACATTAAAAAAAGATAAAAAGAATCAGGTGGAACATATTTTAATAATGCATTTTGTTTAACCCAATATGTGAAAAAATTATCATTTTATCTAATCAAGTTTTTAAAGTATTAATGAAATATTTACTTTTTAAAAATATCGAGTCTTCAAAATGCAGTATATATTTTATAGCCCACCTCAATTAGAATGCTAAATTTTCATCAGAAATACTTGAATTTTATTTAAATTAAATAAAATTCACTGTTGAAAAGATAATGTAATCTTTCTACATTTTCGATTTCACATTGAAAAATAAATAAAATTATAGTGTGTTCCTCCTAAGTTTATGAATATTCAAAGAAATATTGAATGTGACAGCACAAACTGACACATCAAACGATAAATATGATTTTGTATTATCATCAGTATTTTGTGATGATCTTACTCACATTGAACTTTGAAATATTTGCATATTTCCCAAAGGAAAAGGAGGCTTTAAATAGGAGGGAGACACAGCAGGAGATACGAGAGAGACAGGAAGAAAGCCAGAAGCGCGGGTGTCCCGAAAACCTCAGTCAGCTCCAGGCTCCGAAGGGACAAAGGTCATTGATCATGTTCCATTAGAAAGATTCCATAAGATGAGGTCTAAATTCTGCTCTCTGAGTTTAGCCCCTGGGAAGTCTCCGGAGACTTTAGGAAGAGCAGTTTTGGCAGACAAGGGGCCAGGAGGACCGTGCACAAGTTGGGCTGGATGGACGTGCTCAGAGGGAGAGACAGTAGGGAGCAGGGGGAGGCAGGATCTCAGAGGGAGGGTGTGTGCGTGTGTGTGTGTGTGTGTGCGTGTGTGTGTCTTGTGTTCGAAGAGAGACAGTGGCGTGTGCACAGTCAAGCTACAGGACTGGCAGAGCAAGTTCCTGAAGGCAGCAGTGAGCTGGGCTCAGAGCATTTCATCCAGTCCCTGAGAACTGTGGCCTTGATGCACCTACACCAGGGAAGACAGGAGGCCAGAGAGGCCCAGGGACCTGGGCCCGGGCAGTCTTAGTCAGCTGCAGAGGCAGGACTCCAGCGCCTTTCTTTTGACCATCAGCCATCCAGTGTCCAGTGTCTATCACTCCTACGACAGCTTGCTGCCACATAAATTGTGCTTGGACTTTTGATTATTTATGAATTTTTGTTTCTTTTCTTACATTGTTATATCATATGACAGTCATTGTACATTTTCTGAGTCCAAGCATTCATAAACCTGGAATATTCTGTCTGTGAACATAATTAAATATTTTAACTGAAGTGCATGTTTACAGTTGTCCTGTGAACATTTTTGTCTAAATAATAGACTTCCTTTTTATAGCAGTTTTAGGTTTACAGAGAAATTGAGTAGAAAGTGCAGATGGTTCCCATACTTCCACACCCTCCCCGCCAGCACACACCCAGTTTCTCCTGTCACTAACATCTTACATTGGTATGGTACATTTGTTACAATTATGAACAAATGGATAGATGATTATTATAAGTTCAGTTTTACATTAGGGTTCCAACTTTGTGTTGTACAGTTCTATAGGTTTGTCAAATGCATAGTGTGATGCATTCACCATCACAGTATCATACAGAATAGTTCACTGCCCTAAAAATCCTCTGTGCTCCATGTATTCTTCCCTGTCTCCCTCCTTCCTGCCCTGAAACTCTGGTAACCACTGATATGTTTTTTCCCATTACCTCAAACAATTACGGCTTGTGTTGGTAACATTCAAAATCCTCTCTTCTAGCTAATTAAAAGTATGCAATAAACTGGAGTTAATTACAGTCGTCCTACAGCGCTGTAGAACACTGGACCTTATTCCTCTGTCTCGCTTCTCACTATCCCCCTCCTTCCTACCCTTTCCAGCCTTTGGTGACCACTGTTCCACTCTCTACCTCTAGGAGGTCAACTATTTCAGCTTCCACGTGTGAGTGAGAACGTGTGGTGTTTCTCTCTCTGTTTCTGGCTTACTTCACTTAACATAATGTCCTCCAAGCTGACTCATGTTGCCACAGATGATGGGATTTCACTCTTCTTACGTAATAACTTCGTATAGCATACATTATACGAAGTTATACGACCACACATGTAATTTAAAATTTTCTAGTACCCACATTTAAAAAAAGATAAAAAGAATCAGGTGGAACATATTTTAATAATGCATTTTGTTTAACCCAATATGTGAAAAAATTATCATTTTATCTAATCAAGTTTTTAAAGTATTAATGAAATATTTACTTTTTAAAAATATCGAGTCTTCAAAATGCAGTATATATTTTATAGCCCACCTCAATTAGAATGCTAAATTTTCATCAGAAATACTTGAATTTTATTTAAATTAAATAAAATTCACTGTTGAAAAGATAATGTAATCTTTCTACATTTTCGATTTCACATTGAAAAATAAATAAAATTATAGTGTGTTCCTCCTAAGTTTATGAATATTCAAAGAAATATTGAATGTGACAGCACAAACTGACACATCAAACGATAAATATGATTTTGTATTATCATCAGTATTTTGTGATGATCTTACTCCCAGTAGTGGGATTGTTGCATCATATGACAATTCAATTTTTAGTTTTTGGAGGAACCTCCATAATGGCTTTCTGTAACGGCTGTACTGATTTATATTCCCTCCAACGATGTATATTTCTCCACATCCTCACCAGCATTTGTTATTTTCTGTCTTTTTGATAATAGCCATTCTCACTGGGGTGAGATGATATCTCATCGTCGTTTCGATATGCATTTCCCTGATGATTAGTGATATTTAGCATTTTTTAATATACCTGTTGACCATTCGTAGGTCTTCTTTTGGGACATGTGTATTCAGCCCATTTGCCTATTTTTAATCAGATTATTTGCTTTTCTGCTGTTGAGTTGTTTGAGTTCCTTGTATATTCTGTATATGAATCTCTCATCAGATGCATAGTCTGCAAATATTTTCTCCCATTCTGTAAGTTGTCTCTTCTTTCTGTTGATTGTTTCCTTTTCTGTGCAGAAGCTTTTTAGTTTGATATAATCCCATTTGTCTGGGTCTTCTTTTGGGACATGTGTATTCAGCTCATTTGGCTATTTTTTGATCAGATTATTTGCTTTTCTGCTGTTGAATTGTTTGAGTTCCTTGTATATTCTGTATATGAATCTCTCATCAGATGCATAGTCTGCAAATATTTTCTCCCATTCTGTAAGTTGTCTCTTCGCTCTGTTGATTGTTTCCTTTTCTGTGCAGAAGCTTTTTAGTTTGATATAATCCCATTTGTCTGTTTTTGCTTTTGCTGCCTGTCTTTTCAGATTCTCTTTTAGACCTGTTAAATTGCATAAATTTGAAAAGTTGGAGGACTTTATTTTTTGTTTAATTATGAAATATTAATATGCATATATTATCTAGATTGTTGTAACTGAGTTTTACAATATTAAACAAATGAATGAATGGAATGAGAGCAAATGGCTAAATTGATTTTGAAATCTCTAGTGCATATTTTTAATAAAAATGTGCTGATGTACATTGATTAAAAAATTTCAAGGAATTCAAAAAATTACTCATAGCTTCAGTATTTTTTTTTTTCTGTTATGGTTCCTTTCACCAATTCTATTTTGGTTTACTTTTCAGGAAAATGCTATATTTTAAAAGTTATTATGAAGTAATATTTTTCTTTAGTTTTGTGATTTGAAACATTGAATGTTTAAACTTTTTCCTTTGAGGATTAAGGATCTTAACTATAACCAAGCCCAGAAGTGACCGTTGTTATATCTCTTGTGTGTGTTTGTGTTAGCCTGTGAATGCCATGAAAAAGGCTCCCTTTCCAGTGTGTGCCATCCTGAGACTGGACTCTGTGACTGCAAACCACATGTGACTGGACAGCAGTGTGACCAGTGCTTGGTAAGATGCTTACTGGTCATTGCGTACAATTAAAGTATTTGTTATTGATGCGTGTAATTGACACCTTAGCCTTTGTTCTAGAAATTGAATTCCTGCCAGAGAGAGCTAACTCCCTAAGCATGGCTGGTGAATGCTGTGAATCGTGTCATGAATACTTTATGATTCTGTCAGACATCCTGTGTGTGTCATTTGCAAACATTCTAGTGTGTGCAGTTGCTTATTGAAACACATGTTGGCCTCCACGGTTGTTCCCCTCTTGTGAAATAGCACGGCTACTACGGGATGGACACGGGGCTCGGCTGCCTGCCCTGTGGCTGCAGCACAGCAGGCTCCATGTCGGATGACTGCTCGGATGAAGGACAGTGTCACTGTGTCCCAGGCGTGGCTGGGAAAAGGTGCGACAGGTGTTCACCAGGCTTCTATGCATACCAGGATGGTAGCTGCACACGTAAGCACTTGAATTTTTGTTTGCCGCACTGTAGTGATTTCCAGACTTTTGTCTGAGCCCTCCTTTGACTTCTGACTTACTTCTGTTAAGTCCTTTTACTTTTGCTCTCCTTTACATGTAGGATTTCATACCTTTGTTTTCTGTTTCCTGATCCCTATCAGGGTCCAAGCATAAGTTCTGGTCATGGCTCTGTCACCTGCTAATGGTGTGAGCGTAGATTAACACTTAACTTCACTTAGCCTTAGTTTCCTCAGCTGTGAAATGGAGAATCTCATTATCATGTACATCAAGAAGTTTTTGGAAGTGCTGTACGTAAAGTCCTTACTACGGCACTCGGCATGCAGTAAATGCCCAGTGTTAGCTCTGTCTGCTTTTCTCACCCATTGAGGTCTTTTCCAGTCTTCTCTGTATTTCTCCCACTGTGTCTTGATTATCCATCTGCCGGCAGCATCTCCTGACACAGAGGAACAACCACCTCTGCGAGACATGGAGGGGTCTTGGGAATCATGAGGTGTCTTTTAGGAACTGGAAGAATGGTTTAGATTATTAATAAAAGGGAAATAGCTTGTAACATCAACTCTTGCCCCGTTAGAGACATCGATCGCCCCGATCCGTAAGCTCATGCTTGTCTGTCTTTTAGCCTGTGACTGCCCACATACTCAGAACACCTGCGATCCCAACTCGGGCACCTGCATCTGCCCTCCGCACACCCAGGGTCTGAAGTGCCAAGAATGCGAGGACAGCTTCTGGGGCCATGACCCGCAGCGCGGCTGCCAGGTGCGCTAGTCTGCATTGCTCTGCTGCAGCAAGTTTCCGCCCTTTTCTTCTAGCCATTCTCTTGGTTTTCACCTGCTGAATAGCTTTGTGGTTTATGTTTAATGCACAGTGCAGATCATAGGAATCAAAGTGGAGGAAGCAGCACCCTTAGAACACCTTATTCTAGGTTTTGAACCTCACTGTGAAATTGATGGTTAGAAAATCCAAAATGTTTTGTGCTCTTTAAATGTATTCTGCAATGTGTACTCTCTTCCAAGAGGAAGTCATAAGTTGCTTTATTGGGGGGTTTATGTCCAGTCTGTGAGGGCTGCAGTTTTCCATGTCACTTTCTTTGGTTAAATACAAACTAAGCTTATGTTTTGAAAACAGTGGAAAAATTACTTGACTTCTAAAATATTTTGCTAGACTGTTTTGACCTATTAGATTGCATTTCAGTGCATAGTTCTGGCCCAGTGTGCATGTGTCACTAAGATGCAGACACGTCCAGCAATCAGGGCAGTCCTTATCTCCTGTTGGCACAGGGCAGGGTAAATCCATGTAGCAATAGTGAGAGAGAGATCAGTTCATTTGTATAGTTTCCCCACATTTTGTATTTTCCTCTAGCCCAAATATGTGAACATCATGCAAACACAGAAGCCGACTTTTCACTCATGTGGTTTCTCTCTCTCAGGCCTGTAATTGCAATCATGAGGGGTCAGCCAGCCATCAGTGTGACGTGATCACTGGCCATTGCCAGTGCAAGTCGGATTTTGGTGGACGGAGCTGTGATCAGTGCTCCTGGGGTCACAGAGACTTCCCAGACTGTGTTCCCTGTGACTGTGACCTGAGGGGGACATCGGTGGACACCTGTGACCTGGAGCAGGGTCTCTGCAGCTGTGCACAGGAAAGTGGCGCCTGCACCTGCAAGGTATTTGCTGGGACCTTCCATCCTTCCTCTCTCCTGCTCAGCACTGTGGTGACTCTTGGGCTTTCAGCTCTTTAAATAAGCTGTGAGGTTTTAGATGCTTCCTCTAATGAGTTCACACTTCCTTCCACGTCTGGGTTTAGAGACTGTTACGCTTTTCTAAAATGATGGAAGATTCTCAAAATGGAATTTTTACTACTTATTATAAGTGTCAGATGCTGGAACTGATTTGAAAAACACGCTGAGTTTTCTATCATGTGTTCCAGTGGGCTGAGTAGCTGATCTATTTTGAATATACAGGTAACACGGGTAGCACAGGGCTTCAAGACTGGGGATTTTATAGCTGTGTGGTAGTTATTATTTTGGGGGCTGGCCAGGCCGAAGGAAATTGTGTTTATGATTTTCCCAGGAGGTAAGGTTTCAACGTCATTTTTAATTTCATATGTTTCCATTAGTTCTCCCAGTGACCTTTCTTATTAGGGAGTCCTTGCACCTTCTCTGGTCCTTTCCCCATGGGGGGTGAGATGGAAGTCAGGGATAATGGACACGAGGAAGGGAAGACTCATGTAGATGTTATGGTCTGGGCGTAATGCAGACACCAGTTTCCGTATTTTTGGCTCACTGTACCTTATGAAAACAATTATCATTACAGACGACGAGGACAGCAGGGACAGCCTTAATAATCACCTGGTCAGGGCTCCTCTGCACTGACTGGTCTTTAGAATCACCCGGGGACTCGAGGCGGATTCCACGGCTTTCTCAGAAGATTCTCATCAGGGAATCTGCATTTTCCCAAAGCTCCCAAGATGATTCTGATTATCAGCCACGTTTGGGGATCATTGCTTGAGTCGCTGGGAAGAACTGACGCTCAGAGATGTTAGGGACTTTGCTTAAGGAAACAGCTGGTTTCATGATGTTTGTGAATCTAAAATTATTTTTGAGTTTTACTTTGTTTTTGTTTGTTCGAAAATGGCATCTCTTTTTTTCAAGCAAAAACAAGTCCATTATTTGTTGCCCTTTAGGAAAATGTCCTTGGCCTCCAGTGCAGCGAGTGTCGACCTGGCACCTTCGCTCTCCGTGAGGATGACCCCCTGGGGTGCCGCCCATGCTTCTGCTTTGGGCTGTCACACCTCTGCTCGGAGTTGGAGGGCCATGTGAGGACCCCAGTAAGTGACACACGTGGCTAAAGTGGTCCGTTTTTATCCCTCTCCCCTTGGGAGGGGGTGGAGGTAGGAGGGACACTCGAATACGTACATTAAATGTTGCTCTTACGGCATCAGACTCTCTAAAAGGCTGATGTGGGTTAGTGTATGAATCAGAGCTCCAATTCTGCTGTCCGAGGAAATACATCGGGCTTGAGCTGAAGGCGTTTGGTGTTGCTCCTTTGCTAATCTATCGACAGCTTTAGTTGGAGAGAAATAAAACTGCAATCTAAAAGGCTGATGTGGGTTAGTGTATGAATCAGAGCTCCAATTCTGCTGTCCGAGGAAATACATCGGGCTTGAGCTGAAGGTGTTTGGTGTTGCTCCTTTGCTAATCTATCGACAGCTTTAGTTGGAGAGAAATAAAACTGCAACATCTCAGCAGTCTCCTCCCTATAACTGAACACTGCCCCAGTGTAGCAGTAGTTTGACCCAAAAGGCAGGAGTTTAAAAAGCACTTTCAGTTAATATTAATCCAGAGGTTGAGTTTAAGAGAAAAGTCTTAATTCCCATTTTAATAATGACACTGTTTCCTCTCTGAAACAGTGGTGGAATCTAACTGATCCAGTGTGGGTGGATAATTCATATTCTGAAGTGCATTTTCTTTCCCTTTGATGACCAGGTGACTCTGGGCTCAGATCAGCCTCTTCTGCGTGTGGTTTCTCAGAGTAACCTAAGGGGCACCACCGAAGGGGTGTATTTCCAGGCCCCCGATGTCCTGCTGGATGCCGTGACAGTCCGGCACCATGTCCAGGCAGAGCCGTTTTACTGGCGGCTGCCAGAGCAGTTCCAGGGAGACCAGGTGAGGCACAAACCCAGTCCTTATTTCCTGGGGGACATGGAGATAATGTAAAATCACAATAGTCTGTGCTGGCCTATCATTAAAAGAAGTGGTTATTCATTTCCTGTTCTAAGTGGCAATGGAGAAGTTTAACACTTATAAAAATCCTCCCAAATGTATGGATCTTTAAAATTTTTCATTAATTTTTAAAATCTTTTAAAGTTCAAGTCATATTATTTTTCTCCTTCCTAAAGCAGTCATTTAACAGACATACATTGTATTTACAAATGTAAGTTCAACAGAAGCCTAGGTGCTATGCCCTGGGAAGCCCTTCTCGAGAAGCTGTCACTCATTTTGGGGCAGGCAACTACTGTAAAAGAGTCCTGAAAGGTATTGCTTGCATTTTGGTTTTATATAAACATCAGAGTCTGTGCGTGAATTCACTCTGATCTTGAAAATTTGCAAGTACTAGTGTCCGTGCAGTGCTCTTGTTGATATAGATAATTTTTAATTCAAAGGAGAATGAAACTAATTACCATATTGATTTGTCATTTTGGAGCTCACCTTTGTGGGTGACATCAAGAAGAACTTAGCTTGTGTCAATTTAATAATCCATAATTAAGTAGAATTAGAAGGAAGTAAATTTTAGACGACATATTTTACTCATGTACGAGCATACTTCAAGAAGTTCATGGAAAATTGGGATTAAAAGATAATATTAATCTTTCTTGAACTTTTTGAAGACTCCTTGTGTTTTTAACCAAGGTCATGTCAGAGAAGTAAACGACGATTTATTGTCTGATAGCTCATGGCCTATGGTGGCAAACTAAAGTACAGCGTGGCCTTCTATTCCTCGGATGGCAGCGGCACCTCCAATTTTGAGCCTCAAGTTCTTATCAAAGGAGGTCGGACCAGAAAGCACGTCATTCACATGGATGCACCAGCACCAGAGAATGGAGTGAGACAGGAACTAGAAGTAGAAATGAAAGAGGTGATGTTGTGATCCTTTCATATAAGTTCCTTAAGGGTGCGAAGGTGGCTATGGATGTAATGAAAGCTCAAAGCAGTTTATAAAATGAGCAACACTACCCTGGAATCAAATTTCCTATGGGTTTAGCAAGATTTCTTTTTTTTTTTTTTTTCCTTTTTTTCTTTTTTCGTGTCCGGCAACAGACCGCAACCCTCAGTGTCGCGCCCGTACCGGACCAGGACCGGCAACGGGATCGCAACCCTCGGTGTTGCGCCCGCACCGGACTCAGCCAGTGAGCGGGAACCGGTCT